GTGTGAGAGAGAATGATTCTGCATGACTTAGAAGGAGGAAGTAGTGTGCCAGAGGCCCTTGACCCCTTACCTGGTGAGTAATCCCCACGTCTGTGCGCAGCCCCATTGCCAAAACTTCCTCCAGCCTGAAAAGAAAACCATCAAAGGGTCTTGGAGAGGAGACCTGTGCTTCTTCCAGTCTTCAAACCCTATGCTGGGATAGGTGTGTAAGGGGCTACTTATGAGGGTCATGCAGTGTGGGGCAGGGCAGGAAATAAAGAGGTTTCTAAGGGTACAGGGGAACCCCAGGTGAAGAACCCTGTTCCCTCAGATGCTCACAGCTCCAGCTCGCCCAGGGGGGTGTGCTTCCGGGTGCCATGACCAAACAGCATCACCTCTTTCATCCAGTTGTTAGGCTCCAGGGTCTGGATCCGAGCCTCCCGGATGTAGCGCCCGGCCCCCTGGGGCATAAATCGCCCATGGGCCCCTGACAACATCAATAACCACCCTCACTTTAATAGCAGCTAACACTGTGTGTCTGCTAGATGTTGAGTGGTTCTCAGAGTGTGGTCCCTGGATCAACAGAATCTAATGTGCTAGAAACGTAATTTCTCAGGCCCTCCTCCGGCCCTGTCCAATCAGAAATTCTGGAGGTAGAGCCCAGCAATCTGGGTTTTAACAAGCCTTCCAGGTTATTCTGATGCACGCTAAAGACTGAGGACCACAGTGCCAGACACTCTATCAAGCACCTCAAAATGTACACTTGACGGCTCTACAGCATCATATTTTGCTGCACTTTACATATGAGGAAACGGAGGCTCAGAGATGTTAATAAATGGCCCAAGATCACACAGCCATGACATTCTACTCCTGAGTCATCCCTTTTATAGTTCACAGGGGACTCACCAGGCCCAATGCCAAGATACTGACCACACTGCCAGTAAGTCCAATTGTGGGTACTAAGTGCCCCCTGTGGGGAGGGAGAGAAAAGTCAGTGCAGAGCAAAGAAGGTGGCCCCATTTCTACTCAGGTAAGGGGCACCTACTTATAATGTCCCACTACCTCAGGCCTCAGAGCACCAAGCAGAGACCCTTCTCCCCATAGGGCCACATTTCCCAGGTCAGGCCTCAGCCTGCCCACTTCCTGCCTTCAGCCACCAACCCCAGGACTTACATTCCGGGCAAAATTGGAGACCTCGTACTGGCGGAAGCCAGCCTCCCGAAGGATTGCCCGGCCCTCCTGGTACATCTCAGCAGCAAGCTCGGGGTCAGGGGCAGGAAGGGTACCCTGCTGCACCTGGGCGAAGAGGGCAGTGCCCCGCTCCAGGGACAGCTGATAGAGGGAGATGTGGTCATCACAGTGACACAGCAGTTCCTGGAGCTGCCCAAGCCACGGCCCCACCTGCTGTGTTGGTAGCCCCAGCATCAGGTCCACAGATATGCGCCCAGGAAAGAGGCTCCGGGCCTCTGCCAGTGTCTGCAGAGCATCGCTGGCCGAGTGTGTCCGCTCCAGCATATGGAGCTCAGTGTCATCCAGGGACTGGGGAGAGAGGGTCCAGTGTAAGTGCACAGGCCAGCTCAGAAGAAAACAAAAACACCCAACCAATCTTAATATAGACACACAGGTGAAAATGCAAAACATGGCAGAGAGCTGGAAGGCAAATGGTCAAACCAGTACCAAGAGTGCCATGCATTGAAGGGTCACTATGTGCCAAGAATATTTATGCAATATCTAATTTGTCCCCATAACCCTCCAACATTAGCTCCATTTTACAGATGAGAAAACTGACGTTCAGAGATGTTAAGTAACTTGCCCAAGGTCACATGATGGCAGTCGGACCTAGAATTTAGGGCTGTCTGACTCCAAAGCCAAGAGTCTTTTAATTTTACTTTTTATTTTGCAGTATTTCAAACCTATAGAAAAGTTAAAAGAAAAATTCAATAAACACCTTCATCTAGATTCACCAACTAACATTTTGCCATATTTCCTTTGTCTCTCTGCAAATATACACACATATTATTATTATGTTGAATCATTTGACAGGAAGTTAAGACCAGCACGGTCGAAAAATCTTTCTGCGATGATGGAAATGTTCTATATCTGCATTGTCCAATACAATAGGCACTAACCACATGTGGTTATTTAAATTTTATGATAATTAAAGTAAAATAATCACATTCCAAGTGTTTACTGGTATGTGGTCAGTGCAGATATAGGATATTTTAGTAGAATATGGTAGCCACTGGCCACACGGTAGTGAGCACTTGCCTGGTAGTTATTTAAATTTTATTAACTTAAATACTGTACCTTTTAACCCCTAAATACTTAAGTGTGTATTGCCTAACAACAAGAACATTCTCTTACATAACCACAATCCAATTACAGAGTTCAGGAAATGTAACATTGATACAATGCCATTATCTAAAACATAGTCATATTCAAATTTGGCCAACTGTCCCAGTAATGTCTGCTGTAGTAATTTCCTCTTCCCAACCCAACCCAGGATCCAACTGGGGTCACACATTGCACTCAGCTCTCACTGCCTCTTCAGTCTCCTTTAGTCTAGATCCTCTCTTTCTTTGTCTTTTATGACACTGACATTTTTGAAGAGTAAAGGCTAGTTGATTTTCAAAATGTCTCTTAATGAATAAGTCTTAAATAGCTGCTGTACACCATTGTGCTTATAGCTAACAATACTGTACTGTACACGAAAAGATTTAAGATAGATCTCATGTTACCTATTCTTACTACACACATACACACTAAGTCTCTTAGGTTTTTCTGAGGTTTCCTCACAATAGATTCAAGATATATGCATTAGGGGCAGAATATCTCAGAAATGATGTGTCCCTTTCAGTATGTCCCATCAGGACAAGGCCCTGACCCTAAACTCTGTGGTAAGTGGTACATGTATTAGAAGGGCGGTGGGGTGTGTGTGGTGGTGGTCGGGGGGAGGCGGGTACGGATAGAGAAATACTGGACATGGAAATAATACCAGGGATTAACCTGAGAGGAATATGTTTTTCCCAACTTCAATGGCTCCCCTGTCATCACTAGGCAAAACCTCAAATTCCCTAGAATGGTGCTGAAGGCTTCCTTGATTCCAACCTCTGCAATCAGAAGGAATGACTCACAGCTCCCCCAAAACATGAAAGGCTCTTCCATATCCTGTATCCTTTCCTCCCACACCCTCTTCCTCATTCAAACATCACCTCTCCAGGAAGGTTTCCATGATTTCATCAGACTGAGATTCTCTTCAGTCTGTACCTTTTGTAGAGACTTTAGCAGGTTGCAATGATCTGACCACCTGTTTGCTTCCTCCTGGTCTCCAATCACGTAACAAATACTTTTTTGAGCATCTACTATGTGTCAGGCCCTGTGGTGGGTGCTTGGACTACTGTGATGAACAAAAAAAGCACACATGATCTCTGCCTCATAGAGTTTGTGGTCTAGCGCAAAAGCAAACAATTACATAGTTATAAAAACGTCACCATACACTTTTCAGTACCTACTAGCACCCAGAAGGAGGAGCTCAATAAATGTTTGCCCAATAAATGAATGTGACCAGGGGAGAGACAGCACTGAAAGGCTGGGTGCTCTGGGATGGGGTGGGTAAGACCGGTTACCTGGAGGCCAATGGACAACCTGTTGACTCCTGCTGCCCGGAATGCTGCCAGCCTGGAACCTGGGGCCGAAGTGGGGTTGGCCTCTAATGTGACTTCGGAGTGTGTAGGCAGGTAGGTTGCTTGGGCCACTGCCTCCAGGACAGCAGCCACAGTGTGGGGACTGGCTAGACTAGGGGTGCCCCCACCAAAGAACACAGACTCCACCCTGGGGAAAGAGGATGGAGAAAATGAGACCTGGGGGAGCGCTCTGGGATGCCTGCACCTGTCCTATCCACATCCCCCAACATCTGACCCCAGTACCCACCGCCGCACCCCGCTAAGCTGCAGCAGCGTCTGAACCTCAGTCACCAGGCAGCTCCGCATGGCAGCCTCCTCCACGCCGCGGGATATGTACTTGTTGAATTTGCAGTAGCTGCAGCGCTTCTCACAGTAGGGCCACTGGGAACAGGGGGTGTATAGAATGGGGCGAGAGGTGACCGCGGGCTGCCCCGGCCAGTTCCGGGGTTCACTCGCACACATCCCCATCCCCATTCCAGATCCATCAACGGTGGCTACACCATGAGAGCCACAATTCCCCAACGGAGGCCCGACTAGGAAGGATTATTATGTCCACTGTAATAGGACAAAATTGAAGTTAAGAAGTAAATTCACATGGTGAAGGTAACCGAGCTGGTGAGCACCAGAGACTTCAGGTCCCCGGACCCAGACATTTCCCTGCCACGGCACCAGGTCCTATCCGAGACCTCGCCTAGGGGTGAGGAAAGTAGGCATGTCGGCTCACGGGCGAAAAGTCACTATGTGGGTTACGGCCGGCGCGGCCTTGTCCCCCGAACTGCGCCTCCTCCTTCCCACTCACGTGGACGTAAACCACCGCGCGCTGGGTCCCGGGCCCAGGACTCTGAGATCTTTCCGAGCCATCCACGCGGCAGCGCATTTGGACCATTTTGGTCGCTGCTGCCCCGGCACCAGCCCGGACCCCAGGGAGCGCCATAGCACGCACTGAGGGTCGGCAGCCTGGTGCGCGGGGGAAGATCCGAGCCCGCGACGCGCCCAGTGTGCGCAGAGTCGGATTGGTGGGCCGCCCCTGGAAGGAAGAGC